CGGCGGTTCATGCGGCGTGTGCGGGGGGATGCTGGTGCAGTCTCGTACCAGCCCACGCAAACAGTCGCAGTAACGTTTGCCTCTACTCAGTTGCCAGAATACGTATATCTAGACCATTGGAGACACGAGGTCAGTCCATACGTTCCACCTGTTAAGCAGTGCCTACGTTGCATGCGTTTCGGTCACATTGCTAAGTTTTGTCGCAATAATGAAGTCTGTTCAATTTGTTCGACAAATCATAATTATAAATCTTGTACTGTTGATATAGAAAATGCAAAGTGCACTAACTGTGGAGGTAATCACGTAGCCATCTCATCCTCTTGTCCAATTAAAAAGCAACAGATCGAAGACAACAAAATTAAAAGTAGAGCTGTGCAGTATTCAGAACTGTTTAATGAAAAATCATTTCCCAAACTTGCCGAAAAATCGATAGAAACACATTTAAATAATTTATCAAAATCAGACTTATTTATGAATTTATTAGTAGAAACAATAATGAATATAGTATCTAATAAGAATGTACCTATAAATAGTAATACTATAAAAGAAAATTTACATAATACATTCAGAAAAATACCTTCCAAAAATAAAAATGGCTAACTTAAATATTGTACAATGGAATGCTCAGAGTTTAGTAAGCAGTAGGCTCATATTTACAAATTTTCTTTATGAACACAACATTCATTTAGCATTAATATCAGAAACTTGGCTAAGACCGAATCAACAATTCAAAATAAAAGGTTACAACATAGAAAGAAATGATTCTGATAATATACATAATGGAGTTGCAATATTAATTCGCAATAACATTGTTTATACTAAAATCAATACAAATTTTGATAATACTTTGCAAAATATTTGTATTCGTATTACAATAAGAAATAAAGATATATCAATTGTTAGCTTTTACAGTCCTCCAAATACTAATCCTGCCTTTAGTAAAAGCAAATTAGATTCTCTTATAAAATCTATCCCTGGTCCGATGATTTTTGCAGGTGATTTTAATGGTCATCACTCTTCTTGGGGCTGTAATTCCACAAATCCTCGTGGTCGAGATATTCTGGATATCATTGATGAAAATAACTTGATTCTTCTTAATGATGGGCAACCAACCACAGTTGGCTCTTTAACTTGGCGGCCCAATGCTCTAGATTTGACCATAGTTAGTCCTTCTTTGGCTTTATCTTGTGAATGGTCTGTTCATGATGATCCTCTCGGCAGTTATCATCTACCTGTAAAAACAAATATTAGTCTCAATGTCAACAACCAACAAGATTGTAATAACAATAATGTCATGGATGATAAGGTCACTTTTCCAATATTCAAAAATTTTAAACTGGTTGATTGGAAAATGTATCAATGTAAAGTTGAAAGTCTTTTATCTGAGTTTTGTGTTCAATCATACACCCCATTGGAGGCTTATACACTATTTTGTGAAATTCTTTATTCAGCCACAGAGTCTTTAACCCCTACCAAATTAAAATCCAACTCTACCAACAGAAAAACTGGCAAAAGACTCTCATTACCTTGGTGGAATAATAATTGTTCAGTTGCTGTGAGTAATTCTAAACAAGCATATATTACATTTAAAAATAATCCATCAGAAACAACCTATTTGGAATTTAAAAGGTTGCAAGCTTTAAAAAAACTCACCCTTAAAACTGAAAGATCAAAAAGCTGGGCTGATTTGTGTAGTTCATTCAATCGTTGTACCCCTCTTACTGTAATCTGGAAATATATGCGTAAATTCAATAAATCTTTTATTTTAAGTCATCCAGACTGTGACAGCTGGGTTTTACCTTTTCTTAAGAAATATACTCCTGATTATGTACCTACTCATCAGGACTGTTCCTACAATAGATCTCAATCAAATTCCACCAACCTCTTTTTAATAAAACCATTTACAATAACAGAATTGAAAAACGCAGTCTCCTCCAGAAGAGAAAGTGCATTTGGATTGGATGGTATCCCTTATAAAATGTTGAAAACTCTTAGTGATTCTAGTTTGCAGATATTTTTGAAGGTTTTAAATCATCTTTGGGAAAACAATGACATACCACCTTGTTGGAAAATAGATTGCTTGGTTCCTATTTTAAAGCCTAATAAGCCTAAATTGGATAAAGATTCTTATCGCCCTATTGCACTAACTTCATGTGTAGGAAAAATTTTTGAACAACTACTAAAGCAAAGATTGGAGTTCTATGTGGAAAAAAATGGCATTTTACCTTCGAATCAGTTTGGATTTAGAAGAGGTCGCTCATCTCGTGAAAGTATCTGCCAATTACAACTTGACATCCAAAATTGTCTAGTAAAAAATCAAACTATGGTGTCTGTATTCTTTGATGTTGCGGGAGCTTTTAACAGTGTCAATGTTGATGTGCTTTCTAATGAGTTAACTTCAGTGGGTATACCACCAAAACTTGTTCATTGGGTCCAAAAGTTCTTGTCTGAAAGAAAAGTTTTTGTTAAGAATAATGGTTACCTATATGGCCCACGGTTGGCTTCTGTTGGTGTCTGTCAGGGAGGAATTTTATCTCCTCTTGTTTTTATATTATATATCCGACGTCTCAACTTAATTCTGGGTGGACATGTCAAAAATTTACAGTTTGCTGATGACTTGGTAGTATATGCTTCCGATCATAAAATTACAAATTTAGTAAATAAAATTAATAGTGCCTTATTTAATCTTAATCAATATTTTACATACTTAAATCTTGATATTAACCCATTAAAATCAAAACTGCTTGTATTTGGGAAAAATAGATCTTTGATGCCTACTGTTTACTATAACAATGTTGCTATTCCAGTTTCATTAGACACAAAGTTTTTGGGTGTTTTAATAACTCACAACTTATCTTGGAAAAAATATATTGAACACATAACAACTAGGGCTAACAAAGCTTTAAACATATTAAAATCTTTAGTTTCTACATATTGGGGAGCTGATCCTAAGATCTTGTTGTTACTGTATAAGTCTTTGATTCGCAGCCATTTTGAGTATGCTTTTTTTTGTTTTGCTCATGACAACAAAATTGTAGATATCCTAGACAAAATTCAAAATAAAAGTATGCGTTTGATAACTGGTGCTTTCAAAAGCACTCCCATTAATGTTATGCAAATTGAGTGTAATCTTTCTCCCATTTCAATAAGATTTAGTTACTTAAAGGAAAGATTCCTTTTGAAGCTATTCTCAATAAACAATAATCAACTTTTAAAAAATATTTCATATTTATCACAATCACTGGCAGGTAGGCCTTTGTATATCATGCAAGGATTTCCTCAGTTCACTCAGTTTCTCGAAAATTCCAACATTTATAAGCCTTCAATCTTACCATGCTATGAAGGGCATTTTGAGAGCAAATTTCCATCAATTGACATAAATATCTACAAGGAGCTTTCTACTAAAGAGGAGGTGTTTGGTGAACTATCAAATTGGGTTGATCATAAACATATTTATACAGATGGCTCAAAAAATGATTCAAGTGCATCTTTTTCTTTTTACGTTAGCTCTATAAAATCTGGTTTAGGTTACAAGATAGACAAAAATTCCTCTGTATTCACTGCAGAAGCTCTAGCAATTTTGGCTGCTCTGAAACACATAAAACACCAAAATCAAGGACATAAAAAATGGCTAATACTTAGTGATAGCATGAGTGTGCTCAAAAACTTAGAAAACAATAAATTAAGTGCAAACACCAATTACATTATTCATGCTATTAAAGAAGTCTGGTATGATCTATACAATGTTGATAATATAATTGTAAGTTTCATGTGGGTTCCGTCTCACATTGGTGTAACAGGTAATGAAAATGCAGATTATCTAGCAAAATCTATCAATACTCTAGCTACTGAAACCAATACTCAGAAGATGTCTATACCTTATACAGATTTGATTGTTCTGCTAAAGGAAAGAATGCACCAAGAGTGGCGAGCCCATTGGAATTGTATAGTACAGGTTAAAGGTAAAGGTCTATGGTACACACCTCTTTATGTTGATGTAAACAAATTGCCATGGTTCTGCAAATCAAATAGCTTTTTGAATAGAAAATTCTATACGACGATTTTTCGCTTAAGGTTTGGTCATTGTCGGCTTAATTTCCATCTCTTTCGGTTGCAAATGGTGAATAATGCTCAATGTACTCATTGCAATTCCCAAGAAGAAACCCTAGCTCACATTTTCTTTGACTGCCCATCCTTCGGCATTCAGCGCCTTGTGTTGTTGGATGAGCTAATCCAAATTTATGGCAAACATGATTTGGTCCCGCGTTCCTTGACCGATCTTCTTGTAAATAATTGTACATACGTTCCTCTGTATAATTTCATTGCAAACACTGTTGAAGAAATATAAATATTCTGTAATATCGTTGTGTATTAGATTTTAAGGTTAAATGTTCTGCATACACAAAACGCTCAGTTAAGTTTAATAAGTACCGCATGTTCTCTTTCCTTTTATTTGTTTGAAAAAAAATGTTTATTTTCGTAATTTTGCTTGTAGGTATTCTTTTTCGTTTAGGTCGTCGGTTTGAAACAAGTTTGAAACGTATCAAATGTCGTTGTTTTAAGTTTGTTTTTTCTTTTCTTAAGTTTTGTATTAGGATTAAGGTATTGCATGGTATTGGTCTATGATTTATTTTTTGTGTAAATGTGTACTATAAAAAAGATATTAAATAAATATGAAATTCATATAGGATGTAATTAATTCATGATTGGATTGTCTAGTAAGAGAAAAAATTAAATGTTTGGTGTTTAAGATGTTCAATGTGCTCGGAAAAAAGCACATAATAATAGAGTAAAACAAAAAACTAGAAAATATACCGGAAATTATCAAACTGAGGAAGTTATATTGAATTTTAATAATAAAAAGAAGAAAAATAACTAATGACGAGGCAGTATGGTCCCAGACCTTAGCCTGTCCGAAAGGACAAACGAAAAAAAAAAAAAAAAAAAAAAATGTCACCAGAATGTTTTGTTTTTAAAATTGTACAAAACAAATTGTAATAATGAAGAGAACTACTCAGCTATTTGATTTGTATTGGGAAGACATTCTCGTAGCCAAAATTTTGCCATACCTTACTATGCGGGAGTGTTTTGTTTTTAGATGTGTATCAAAAACCTGCTCACAAATAATAGACATGTATTTTTCCAAGTTGAAAGCGCTGAAATCGATAAGAAAAGGGTTTTCGCCGCACACCTTCAATGTATGTGAGATCTCTACTCCTAATCTACAAGTTAAAAAAAATCTGGTGGTTTTTAAAGTGGTTTAATTACAGGTGTTTACCCGGACTTGTACCAGACTGAATGTGTTGAATCTGAGCAGGTCCGTATCTCTGAATGATAACGACCTCATACCTCTGCTACTCCAGAACCCCGGACTGGTCGTTCTGAATCTCAGCTATTGTGAAAATTTGTCAGCTAAGTGTTTACAACCTGTCATCCTATACTGCAATAACTTGAAAACATTGAAACTCGCGCATTGTGCGTGGCTCACTACTGGTGCCATGGAAGCGCTGGCATTACACCAAACTGCACTAGAAGATGTGGACATATCACACTGCTTCAATATCTCAGAAAGCTGCATTCTGATATTTATTAAAAAGTTCATATATTTGAAGACTTTGAATCTAGAGGGTAACACACAGGTGTCAGACAAAAGCCTGTATGCTCTATCCAAGTACAGCACATCATTGCAGCTGCTCAATTTAGGAGGCTGCTCTGAAATCACAGATAAAGGTGTGAGGTAATAATAACAACAAACTTTTAAAATACTCATGTCATCATAAACTTGTTATTTGACTAATCATATAATAGTAGCCATAAGTATATCATTTTTACACCATTTTAATGTGTTTTAATTACTGTTTCAGGGCTTTGGCACTCCACAGTCTGAAACTAAGAGGGATGTTATTGAGAGGGTGTACAAAAGTCACTGAAAATAGTTTAAAGCATATGAGAAATCGAGTGAAACTTGACAGAAGAGCTGCTGAGCCTGTCCCGATGCCAATTTATGTCCAAATTTAAGTACATGCTCTCTAGAAAGTATTATTTTATAAATCTTCCTTCTAATGGTCTTCTATCCAATAGCCCTTAAAATTGGCATTTGTTTGTAAACAAAGATGTTTACAAACTTTGCATAATATTCTTGTTTAGTGTGGATGCCCTATTGTGTGTGTCAACTTTTATACCAGCAGTTCACTTGGTTTGAAGGATTTATTCAGTTTTAGATAATATCTTTTAAATCACATAAATAATATTTAAAGGTAAGGATAGCAGTTATAATTAGACAGCAACCTCTTTTTTTGGTTATTATTTGTTTGTTAATTTTATTACTAAAACAAATATGTATTCAATTCAATTCAACAGCAATTCTTGATATAACAGCTGCACATATTCCTCACCAGAATTTTGTAATACTGTAAAGCCAATAATTTGCAATTGCACTAAACTGAAAATTGCCTACTTTCACATAAGTGTGTAATTAGATAACTTTAAATTAATGTGACATTGAAAAAGTACTCTTTCTGAAACGGGTTATAATTTAATTTTATTTAACAATTACATATTAGATTTTTTGATCAATTTCACATCTCACTGATAAAAAATATTTTATTATTTTGTAGTTTATAAGTTATTGGTGAAGTCAACTTTTTAGCTTATTCACCAATAGTAGGTATTCTTTTACACTTTCTTGGGATGTTTTAGAGCATTGTAAATATTCATGACATTGCATGAATATAATTGTGAAATATTTTTGTTAAATTTTATATATAAAATTCTCGTGTCACAATGGTAGTGACCCTGTTCCTCCGAAATGACTTTGAATATTTTTTATGAAATTTTAAATGCATATTTAGTAGGTCTGAGAATCGACCATTATCGTTTTTTCATACCCCTACGTCATAAGGGTTGTCCAGCCCTAATATTTATTTTTAACACATTTTTTTTATTTTTTAAAAACAATAAAATTATTGTTTTTATAACGTGGCATTAAAAAAACATACAATCCCAAATTTTCACCCTTTTGCCACCAGCTGCTATTTTTATGGCGGAACGAAGCTCGCTGGGTCAGCTAGTTATAATGCAATATTTTTGTGATGACTGGTTATGCAGCATGCTGGCAGGGTTCCTGCCTTCTGCTCCAGGCGTCTTGAGGCCAATGGATGGACGGATGGCATCTCCCCACGGGGGGAGTCTCCTTTCCGTCTGAAGCCTCTAGACAACTCGAACCTGAGGCGGTCAGCACAACTAGAGGGCGCCTCTGAGACTCGGACCTCGGCTCTAGTTAGCCATAGTCGTGGGGGGGGGCGGGGAAAAACGCCCAGGTACGTACCTGTACCTGGTATAGTGTGTCGTGTGTAGACCGGGTCTTCGCACTCTTATCCCACGGGTGCAGTGTCTGCCTAATGCTAAGCTAGTGTGCGAGTTTGCTAGCTGTGTAGTGTTGGTGTTTGTGGCCTGTGAGCGAGGAATCGAAGGCTCAATTACCTACTTGAGTTCGCGAAAAGCTGCTGAATGTGGATCTCAGGGCTAGGGTTGCCGCCTTTTTTATGTCCAAATAAAGTACATTGGATATTAAAGGTAGAAAAAAAATTACATTGTGTCCAAAATAAAGTACTTTTTATTCCACTTTATTAGTAGGTAAGCTTATTTACGCTGCTTTTTTTAATAAGCCACTTTTAATATATAATTTGTGGCTACTAAAAATCTGTAGTTCTAATCCGCAATGGGAAAGGCCATTGTACAAAGCCATACAGCCGCGACAATGTTTTATGCAAAAAATCTTCCTATCCTCTTTTTGTATATTTATATAAAATTAATCCCCAAGTAATCAAATCACATTAAATAAAGTATTTTCACGTACTTTATTGTTGGCATAAAGTATAGAGTACAATTACCCGAAATAACGTACAATAATTTATAATAAAGTACGGGTGGCAACCCTACTCAGGGCCCATCAGTATGAAGATCTTTGGGGGAGACCTGTGTTCAGCAGTGATCTTTGCTTTGCTGAATGATTATGGTGATGACATTCCGGTTAGCTGTATTATAAAACGGAGCCGATAAACAAGCATTAACTCTAAAAATCGGCTACCTCAGCGTTTTTCTTGTTTCTTAGTGAATGTGAAAATTTATAATATCTTAAGAAATTTGACTGTGGCAATACAACCTGAGAAAAATTGTGTATTACCACTATATTGATTTATGGGTGCTTTTAAAATTTATTGTATATTCTTCATTAGAAGTTTCTTTCATAAGTTCCTATATTTATTTAAGTATAGTGTCAAAATTCCGCCTAAACCTTTCTTATTATGTTAAATAATAATTAAGAAATCCAAAATTATTAAAAAAAAATGTATTTTCGAAAGTGCTTTTCAAAATGTAGTGAGTGTACCGTGCTATTGCGACATACTAATTTATATTCTATTAACACATCTAAAGGTGAATTTATACTAGCGCAGAGTCGAAATCGATGCGTTTTCAGCTAATTTCAGTAACGTAACAAAGCAAATTTCCCATTATCTCCGCAATGTGAACGTGATGCATACATTCCTGAACTGAGCGTGGGCGCGCGAATTTAGTCGAATGCGTCGTCGCGTCTTCTTTTTATTTCAGAAGGAATGTGTACATTACGTTACGGAGATAATGGTGATTTTGCTTTGTTACGTTTTTTATAATTAGCTTCTCATGCGCTTCGAGTATGCGCTAGTATGAATTGACCATTAGACTTAGAGACTAGGATTGTATAGGAAAGTATAGTGTTGTGCTATTATCATCAATGTGAACCATCTAAATGCTGATTTGCAGTAATAACAAAGTTACCTAATGCCGACTTTACAAAACTGCAATATTTTTACTGTGTTACATATTGTGGTAGTATTGGTATTTGAAGCAACTAGGGAAATTCACAGAAGGTACGAGGTTTGTAAAAATTGCATCGTCCTACGTTTTGATTACTTGGCTTCGTTGGCTTATAGACGATTCACACATTGCAGTGCTACGTCGCGTAGCGCGTATTGACAGAATATGCGCGCGTGATCTGCGCTACGCGTCGGGACGCTTTGCCAGTGGGCGAATCGGCATCAATACGCACGCGGAACTGTGGCATAATCTGCGCTTACGCCACGGTAATATTATCTATACAGTATTCTATCTTCATACAAACGGTCGGAAAGCGTGTCATACCTACGCCACTCGAGTTCGCGCGGCACCCGGTGGACATCCAGTCGCGAATGCGCCGCAGCGACGACCGAACGGTGTGAATTGTTTTTAAGCAGTTAGCCGTGCTTAAACGTTTGTATTGTGAATATTTGATTGAATCAAGTAGATACCTACATAATTTAATATGGCAAAGAGTAATAGTCGATATTGTGCTGGTTTTGGTTGCTTGAACTCTTCAATAATTAAACTTTTTATACGAATGCGTATTTATTATACTATTAAATTCAATAATAAAGCTTTTCGTACGTCTCAGTCGAGGCGTAAATATTTTTCTGTCTCAAATCTATATTTTTTTTTTATTAAATATTACACTTAAAATATCATTTATTTTATGTAACACTTCCTAATTCATTCACAACATTTTTTTTTACATATGAAATAAAATATCCGTCCGTGTGAGTTTGCTTTGGGACGCCCTGTATATATATAGTAGGCGAAACTACTATATTTTGCTTAAAGCAGACTTGCCCGTAAAAGCTTTCTTAAAATAAAAACTAAAGTATTATGGTATAGACAGCAGCAAAAATATATTAATTTCAAAAATAAAGTAAATATTTTAACCCCATACTATATTTATTCACTTTTTTTGTCGTCTACTATATTTTTAGACGTAATAGCTTCGTAAATACTTTATTTGATAGAAAAAAGTTGGTATAGATAAAGTTGGTATAGATCGCGTCAAACTTCTAGTCCGCACTGAAGTTGTTTCGCGCAGGTGTACTGCCCTAAGGAGGAGCTCGATGGCGCAGGTGGTTAGCGCGTTCGGCTGCGATCGTTGTAGTTAAGCAACTTTCGCAGTGGTCGCTCATTGGATGGGTGACCAAAAATTTCTATCTCGAGTTCCTCCGTGCTTCGGAAGGCACGTTAAGCCGTTGATCCCGGTTGCATCTGCAGTCGTTAGCACCCGCCAATCCGCACTGGGCCCGCGTGGTGGGTCATGGCCCAATCTCCCTATTCCATCCATAGGGAAGGCCTGTGCCCCAGCAGTGGGGACATTAAGAGGCTGATGATGATGTACAGCTCTAAACACAACCTTCGTCCCTTTAAATACGTACTACGACGCGAATTGTGCAGTGTTCAGAGCAGACTAGAAGATTGGCGCGATCTATAAGTCTAGTTGTAAGATACAATCAGTGTAGTTGAAATGTTGTTGATTTATTTTAATAATTTAACTATTTGTACCTGGCATAAAATTTTGGGATGCCAAAGGTATTGAGGAACCTATTTCTCAATACAAAGCTATGTTACATTTAAGCTCAGATTACAGAACAGTACCCTTAGCACGAACTATTATCGAATTCGAATAGTTAGGGAGTGCGAAATGTCAATGTCAAATTTTGTATGGAAACTTGAACAGCAGCGTCACAAAGTACATAACGAGAACTAAAAATCAGTACACATTTGGCAATGACATTTCGGACTCGCAAACGTTACGAATTCGATATTGGTTCGTGCTAAGGGTACAGAAGGCAGATGGAACGCACGAAACACGCCAAAGCAAATACGAAGTCAAAAGCGAATACAAACTCGCGTCAGTACGCTACAACGCGACGTGTTGTAAATACGACCCGTTAATAGTCTTTATCAAGACTACTACTACCGCCTTGTTCAAACATTGTAAAAATTGTTTACAAAGACAAAAAAAGGCTTTAATATTGACTTAATTTTCGCTTTGGTGGCCGCACTTGCGTGTTCCGTTGCATCAGCCTTTTGTTCTGTAGTCTGAGCCTTTAAAACATTTTTTAATTTGTTGGATGTTTTACCAAATTCAAATATATATTCCAGTTCACATAAAACCTATT